TCTCAACTTGTAATGGTTTTTTATGATTAAATAAATAAACGACACCAACCTGATTGCGGGATTAAAAAAAAAAAAAATAATTATAATATTTTTATATAAAATTAATTTTGAAAAACAAATACATATATCAAATCTTAATTATAGTTTTTTTTAACTTTAAATTAAGTTGTATATTATTAATTTATTAATCCTATTTGTCAGAAGACATTTATATATTTGTATTAAAAATATTATAATAAAACTAAACTTTGTATTGCTATGTAGCATATCTATTATAAGTTTAAAGTCTCTAGATATAATTATGAGAAATAAAGAAAATTGTTCAATTTTATTCTAAAACTTTTCACCAATCTAAAATATTACAGCCATCAAATCTTAATTATAATTTAATTATTATATTTTTATATACTTAGAAATTATATATAGTTCTAGTTATTTAAATAATATATAGAATTTAATAAAGTTTTCTATATTTTAAATAGATTTTAATAAACTTTTTTATATTTTAATTATGTAATTAGTAAAATTTAAATAGATAAATCAATTATTTATGTTTTGTATTAAACTTTTTTCAATAAAAAATATAATAAAATTTGATAATTATAAATTTATTTGTATTAGTAATTAATTATAATAAACAAGAAATTATTTATTATCTTTATTTCTTAAAATATATAGTATAAATATAAATATATATAGTATAAGTTATAATTTATAATTTTATATTTTATTTTATGATTAAATAAAAAATTTGGTAATTTTTATTCAAATATATTTTATTTTTAAGATTTTAAATAACGTAAAAATTAAAAAAAAAATTTTTAAATTATTATAAACAAGTGTATTTTTTATTAAGTTAATTTAAATATAAAACCAAATAAGAAATATTAAAAAGTAATCTTAAGTTATAAGTTTTCAAAAATTTTTTTTTAAATTTTTATAATATCAATTGTTAATAAAATTAGATTAAAAAAAACCAATTTCAAAAAATTATAACTAATATTGTGTATGCAGAAAAAACTTTCAATAAAAAGATTATTGAATGGGTAAAAAAGACACTGAATCTATTTTTAAGCTATACAAAAAACATAATAAATATTAAAGTTCCATGCTATAGAAAAGGATATTAAAATACATAAGATTAAAACCATCATGAAAGATTGTTATATAAGAATTACTTTCAAAAAATATTCAAGTCTAGAACCAAGAGTTTGATGATATTAAAAATTTTAAATTGAAAGATCAAGAACAAGATGTTGACATGATCATACTCTGTGATAAGCATTACACATCAAAGATATGTGACAATCTCGGTGATACAAAGGTTTGCAAGTGCGCTCGATGCAATTTAGAGATCATAATGCAGTCCGCAACATCCTTCTGAAACATCTGAGCCTAAACTCGCTTAAATGATTGGCATGCTAAACGATCGTTCTATAACCGTGACGTTGATAAAAATGGTTTTTTTATTGTGGATGATCGGTTTATCTGTAGGAGTAAGCTTTGACCTGTATAAAAATCTTAATAAGACGACGTTTAAAAAAACAGGTCAAATTTGCTCGATCATTTTAATTAATCTAACTACCTATAGCAATGATTACTGTGTATCATGTGAAAGACAGTTCCTCGATTTTTTTCATGTTATCGCACATCATAAACGTTTAATTAGAGAAGGAAAATTTCGTGTTCTAACTTGTTTCGGTGAGCACTATAAATTGACCAATAAAAGATACAGTATTGGATGATTTTGTTTTTTATATCAAAACTTGGTGTTTCTCTTTCCATAATAGAAAGACAATAGTTGTGCTGTACAGTTCATCCCGATACAACGAATTCATATTTGGACAGTACCATAAAAAAAAAAAAATCTGTTTGACTGGAATATCTCATCGCCACATTTTTCATCCTTATTTTCTCAAAGTTTTAAATTATATAAATAAAAGGTATAAGAACCTATTCCCTTTTTATTCAGATAAAAAATTCAATAGTACAATGGAAGATAGATGGTAAACTTAGTACATAAAGTAGTTTTTGCCGGATAAGTTATAAATAATATTTCCCCCCGTAAAGCTTCCGAGAGAAAAAAATCTTTTTTTGAGTGGGTCTGCTTTGATTTATTAGAATGTATATAGGTACAGTACACGTTTTCTTTGTATTTTAATGTGAGGGGCGGAATTTTACACCAAACCGATACGATAATAACAAGAAAAGCATAGATTTGCAAAGACTACCCAAACCATAATTACTTATACGCGAAATACAGTATTTACAAAATATACATGTGGTGGTGAATTAACAACATTCATTGGTTAATACTTTGAGAAATCATAATAAAACGGGTTCCACCCACAAGAGAACGCTTCTTTCAAGCCCACTAAATCCAAGTCACAACTTGACATTTGATATGCTTTAATGAGATTTCCTTGTTCTTCGCTAAATTCAAATGCGTCCTCTTTCTCTTCATCTATAATATTTTCATAATGATGATATATAGTAATTTGCCTCCCATCTTTCTTCCACATGCACTCCAGAAACTTTTTCAGTCTCTTTGTGGTGAACTCCCATTCGCCTCCTACGCACAATCTCGAAAGCTGAGATGGCGCATATTGTTGCAACACATCTAATAATATGTCGCCGTTGAGTTTGGTATTCGCAGTTCGGATGTATAAACATCTTAGATGTGAGCAGTTTATGAGAATCTCCCTCAAATCCCGGAATTCGGGGTCGGTAAAAAATGACGAGAAGAATTCCAATTTCTTGCATTTCAGCGCCACGGTCATGTTAAACAGAGTGGAATTTCCAGGACTCGAAGGAATCAGACAATATAACGATATCTCCTCCAGATTGGTGCCGTTATTTAATACGAATTTCGTTAAACTCAAAAACGTGGGAGCCTCGTAGTCTACCTCTAGAATTCCAAGATTCGGAAAATTCTCGCAACTCAACGCTTCCATCATCTCATCAGCATCATTCCCACAATGAAACAATCTAAGGGATCTCAAGTTGACGTAGTATTCCATAGTGTACATCAGAATGCATGAGCTACTACCCCCCAGTGACAAATGCCTAATCGACCGTGCCACCGATTTCAAGGCGTGACCAATATTTGAACATGAGTAGTCGTCGTCGAAATCACGTTCCACCTCGGTGTCAATTTCCACGTGCCTCAGATTAGTCTGTGACTTGATGAGTTTTGACAATGCCTGATTGTCATCGTGGTACTGCTTGATGATTAATTTTTTCAGGTGCTTACATATTTGAGCCATTCCGTAAAAGACATCGAGTGATAAATTCGTATCACACACAAATTCCACCAGCGGAGAGAGACACGATGATGCACCAGGAAAGTGAGTCAGGTGAATTGAATGAGTGAGAAAGGTGAGTCGCCTTATCCTTGGGCTCTTTGAAACAAAAAGTTTGTACAACTCTTGTCTAATTAGGTGTAATTTGTAGTCATGTTCAATGAGGTCCGACTCCTCTTCGGGATTCCAAAAGTGACCGACGTGTGAGATGGTCAAGGTCCTGCAGAACGTGGGATAATCGAATAGAGGTGGTGGGTGGTGGAAGCGATTTTTGATTATGGAAACCCCGTTTCGGATTAAGAGTTCTTTTGATTCGTTGGGAAGAAAAGACAATAATGTGAGGATGGCTTTGGGGCACGAGATAAAATTAATGGTGTCACTCCACAAATAACGAACCGCGATATCGCACCAGGACTTGCTAACATTCGCGCACGAGTACAAAGTTTGTTTATCGTTGTGAACATGATGCGGATCTTGGAAGTATGCAAGGATTTCGGAAAGAATGTCCCCTGGTAGCGGCGGTGTCATCTTTTAATAATGATATTTTGATGGAATAAGAAGAAGCGGAGAGTGACCAGGAAAAAAAAAGAAAAGATGGATTTTTTTCCTCAAATAATAAAATTGGAGAGGAATTTATACGAAAAGCGTTTACGTAAAGGAAACTCTATTTTCTCATTGAAGTATCCTCTTACGTTATTAATTACTTCTCTTAACTTTAATTGTGATGCATAATGAGTGTATTGCGAAACACCAATTAGGCATGTGGTCACAGTGAGCGTCAATTTAATATGGTACAATGATCCAAGTATGATTAGTGTCGTTACGATAAACAAAAGAAAACCACTAAAAAATTGTTGTGGATGTAGCTATTCATGCAAGTTGGAAAGTAGGAAAAGTTTAATTTGGAGATTAATTATATCAAAATGTATTGACATTTCGAGTCATCTGCTGTGGAGTAAGTCACGCGAACATAGAAAGCGAATTGTAAAGCTCCCTCCTTTTTTCTTTTAGAAATGATAATGAGAAATAGTTAAAATGATTTCGAAATCGGTGAAAATTTGGATTATAAACAGACTATATAACATATTTGGTACTTTTTTTATTTATATAAAAAAGAAATTTCAAAGATTGTCCCCTCCCCTCGGGAAATAACGCGCGCCTCGAATTAAATAAATAAATAAATAAATAAATAGATAATAAATTCATCTCACACGTGCGCTCTTTCGCATCAATTCCACTCGGCACAAACTTTTGAAATCGTGAAATAATTATTAATTACAATTTTCCTAACCTCCCTCCCGTTCTCCCTCGCGAATTTCCTGATCATGTCCTCCTTGCCGATGGAACTTCCGTGGCAATGACATTCCAATGTTCTCAACCTCGCGTTGCAACTCATCAAGAATCCCATCAGTATCTCGATGGAAATCACCCACTTTGTCAGGTCCAGGTGTACAAGACTCGACGGTATCAGGCCGGCCATCTCGAACATGAAGTCGTTCGCTTCAAATGGGTCCGTGCAATGGATCTCGTCAATCATCAGCGACTCAAGCTTTTGACAACTCTTTAGTATGCTAAATAAATTTGGAATTTCTTGGGTTTTCTCTATTCTGATCATAAATGTCTTTAAATTTTTACAATACTTTGCAACCGCTTCTAAAACTCCGGGAAACACTTCAAGATTGAATCTCAGTCCCAGATTCTCCAAGCGAGGTCCATATGCTCGTATGATGTTTTGCATGGTTTTATCCTTGATCTTTTTTGACCCTTTGACGGTCCATGCGTGATCGATGTCCATGAGGTAGAGCGAATTCAATTTTGGAAAGGAAGCCTGTGAGAAAACTTTCAGTTGAGCCCTGGACAGATGGAGCGATTTAAAGCAAATGGATTCTAACTGCGAACATCGGGACAAAGTTCCTATGTTGAGACTATCGACAATTTCACCGTTCGTGATCTGAAGTTTGCGCAGAGAATTTGATTGTCCCGTCAGTGCCGCAAGCACAGGCGAGACATCATCCGGGTTACTGATAAAATTGAATTCCTTTAGGTTATGCTGTGTTTTGATAAAATCGCTCAGGTCATAATTTAACGCTTCATTCTTCCAATCCTCGATGGTGAGAATCGAAAGGTTTCGATTGACGTTCAGTATATCTTTTAGAAATGTCGATTTCGGAAATGGCCCTGTCAGCTTCAGCACCTTTAACTTTGTCAACCATTCGATCATCCCGGAAGAAGAGAATAACACTGTCAGATAATGATCAAAGTCATTGGGAAGCCATCGAGAGTTATCTTTGAGGTCAATGGTGAATCTATCAAACTTCTTTGATTTGTCTACCACCAGCTTGAATATTTCCTCGCTGATGGCCACCGAACGTTCGTGAGTTTCGTAGTCAACCACCTCGTCTTCGTCCTCGTCATCCGAGTCGTAATAATGGTCATCATCCTCATCGGAATCAGAATCGTCGTCCCATTCATCTCTGTTGTACCTCAACCACCAGCGATAGACGGTCATCTGTAACCCGATAAAATCAAGTTCATGCAAGAATTCGGGATAATTGAAAGATGCACTGGTAGATAGGCGCATACCGTCGATATTTAGATTTATCTTTGTTTCGTTAGAGAGGAAGGATAGGTAAACGGGAATTATCGTGTGGAAATTGGCGACCGAGTCTCTCAGGCAGAAGGGTTTTTTCCAGAGAATCGGCATAGCGTGTCGACACCATGTGCGATTCAGGAGAGCGACCGAATGTAAGGACGTTATGTCAGTTTCGTCAATATGTTTTATTATTTCTTGAACGCATTCAGACGGTAAATTTGATATCATCTTTCTTTATTTTGATTTTATTTTATGTTATGCTATTTTATTGTTTCTTCTCGATTCAAGATTTTTTCGTAAAGGAAAAAATTTTTTGAAATTTTGAAATTGTTAGAAAGACCAAAGGAAAAGAAAGTTTTGAAAATAAATATTTAGGTCGTGGAATTCGTGTGCAATATTGGGGTTTATTGTTTTTCATTATTGTCAAATAAACTGAATAAATAAATAATAAAGGTGTACCACCAACTACGCTATATTTGTTTAGACGTTTTTTTTGTCTGATTAATTATGTATTCCCTTTTATCGGACCGAACACTATTCACATAGCATGTAACTAACAAATTTAACTCGGGTGCAATGAAATTGAAATTCAAAGAGCATGCACCCGATTCGGAGATAAGAACCTTACTGCTATGTTACAAGTACAAACTTACGTAAATAGCGATATGCTATTCAAGTGCGTGGTATCACCTGCTCCACGTTTTCAACAACTTTCTGGCGCAGGATTTCGTTGTGAGATTTATGCGAAATTACAAACACGGATTTCTCGTTAGCCTAATATATGCAACGTCAAGTTATGATCGACCATGGAGACAGGATTTCTTTGTATATGATACTTTCCCCGGAGGTTCGTGAAAAAGAAAAATCAACTCACCAGTTCAGTCCGACATATAACACAGGAGACGGATAATTGTCGTCATTGCCCTCATTTCACTGCAACCAATATCCCATTTCCAAAATGGGGCAATAAATCAAAATGCTCGTCCCTTCACATATCGTGTACGCATGGCCATTATCGGATGGCGGGGTTCCTTAATGAAATCATACAAAAATGGATCGAAATTTCAGGAAAGTTGCTATACCTCCTTCATTGCACAGCCATTTTACAATGGGAAACTTCAAATCTTACGTTGGTCGAACATCCAACACCCCCCAAAACAAATACAAATAGATATGCATATATATTAAATATATATTACATGTTTTATTCTGCATACATACAGTATGTGCAGAGTAACAAATTTATATGTATATACGTATTAGTGATAGAATTCTATGATATTTTATCAAATGATGATTTTTATCACGTGATGCTATTATTAAATCGAGTCGCACAACGTGACAACTTCTTCGTCACGGATCTTTGACGTATTAGTATTAATCAATTTTATAATTTTACAAAGAGAATCGCATTACCCATGCATTAAACATCCATTAACTACATAAATTCAAAAAACTACAATGACTTTTTAGACTCATAATCCGGGCAGGTAGCCATTTCTCTCCTTTTCATAATATTTAGCGATTAAGAACGCAACGTCTAAGCTTTGCTCGTAATTTAATCTCGGATCACAGTAAGTTTTGTAATTTAGGGAAAGATCGGAATCGGCGAGTTGCATTGATCCTCCGATGCATTCTAAGAGGAAAAGATGTCCATGTTTAGAAAGAGGACGAGAAAGTTTAAAGTTTGCTTTAGGAGACTTACCGGTTACGCCTTCACCCGTAAGTTCAAAATGTACGCCATTCATTTGACTGTTGTTGGCCTTGTGAATATGTATCGCCTTTGAAAGTTCCTGTGAAAATATTTTCATTCATGATTACAGTAAAAAGGAAATTTCATGATAATTTTGGAATTCGTGATCAGGCCATACCTCGATTATTGAATTGAAATGTCTAGTTTTCATGCCAGATAAAGAATTTTTTGTGCTATTTTTCATTTATTAATGGGAAATAAAGGGTGAGTCATGGTTACTTCTATTCTCTAAATCGGTGAAGGCATAAATGATGAATAACATACTTTCCGTGCATCGGATCACAAGCCCAGACTACAATGTGTCCTGATGCCTTGACAGCTTGAATGTGACCTGGCAAATATTTCTCAACCTGAATCAGAAATTATTCATTTGTCAATCCGAGTGTCTGCAAAATTATCCAGAAGATGTGAAGGAAGACACGTATGTTACCTGATGTGCTCCGTAGCGCGTAATTAACGTCACCTTTCCGATTTCTTTGTTTGGATTTACGATGTCCAATAACTCCTTGAGTTCATCAGGCTGCATGGATGGACCAACTTTGATTCCAATAGGGTTTTGTATTCCTCGGAAGTATTCCACATGTGCACCATTGAGCTGTCGAGTTCGGTCTCCGATCCACAAGAAATGACTGCCAACATTGTACCACTTGAGTTCACCAGTTTCGGGGTCTTTTAGCTCACGCGTTAAACTTTGTTCGTATTCAAGGATCAAACCTTCGTGTGACATAAACAAATCCACACTATTTAATGGGCTTGGAACAGGTGACACGGGAGTGTCCACTCCAATCGTTTTCATGAAATCCAATGCGTCCGTAAGGCGGTCAACAATCGTCTGATATTCTTGTCGAGTTCCCTGGGAACGCACATGATGAAGTGACCATTCTGATGGGCGGTGAAGATCTGATAGTTGAATTAATAAGGCTTCGATCGTTACATATTTATTAAATTTGGCGAAAATTTCTCATCAATCAAATATGCACGGAGGTCAATGATTTTACCTGCGAACCCTGAACCGAGAATCGACCTAACATAATTTAACGTGGCCGCCGAATGAAAGTAGGCACTGGGATGAATTAAATATAAATAAATAAATAAATAAAATAATAATAATAATAATATATATATATATATATGTATGTTTCTATTTCGCGGGAAAAAATTTTTGATTCCCTTACCTCAAAAGACGCTCGGGATCTGGCTTTCTGTCGTTAGGGTCATACCCGTTAATGTTATCACCTCGGAAGGATAGGACTTCTTTACCTTGGCAATTTTCATATGGATTTGATCGTGGCTTTGCATATTGACCGGACATCCTGGCAATTCGGACCACCGGCACTCTGGCACCCCATGTGAGTACTAAGCTCATCTGAAGGAGGACCTTAAGTTTTGATTCGATTGGGTCCTGTTTATATTTCGAAAAATTTTCTCTTGTATTAGCATGAGAATTATCATCTTTTTTTTTTCTAAAAAAAAAAAAAAAATCTTCTCAAACCCTATTTATTACCTGTGAGCAATATTCAAAAAGCTCGGCACAGTCTCCGCCCTGTAATAAAAAGGCCTTCTTGAGAGCAACTTGCTTCAGCTGATTGCGAAGATTCGTGATCTGTTTATTTATTTGTTGATGAAAGTTCACATTGAAAATTAGCGGGCCATCTGATGAGAATGAAATTTTTCGAGTATCGTTCTCCGAAAAAAACGTCATACTTCTTGAGGTGTGACCATGGGAGGCAGGTGACTCAGTTTACCCAAAACCTTTTGTAAATGCGCCTGGTCTTCATAGGATACGTCTTGTTTTATTGGTTTCGTCTTCCAGGAGAAAGGGGTCCAATCGTTTCCGGTGTGGGTCTTCCCGTTTGTACCATTCGCGGTGTTTGTGGCATTTTTCGATCCATTCTTTAAACTCCCGTTTGATTTCTCGAGGATTACGTGTTCTTTGGTGGTATTTCCATTAATTGGACCGGTCATGTTTACCGATGTACTGAAATTAATCAATTAAGAAAAAAAAAAATAACTCGGATTTTGTAAGAGTACAAAATAGAAACCCAGATGATGAGGATTTATAGGAAAATATCTTTTTTTTTTCCGCGAATGATAATTTAATTATTATGACTCAGTATGATTGACATAGCCATGCAAAAACAGATTAACAATGAAACGTAAAACATGTAAAACATGTTTTTTTTTCATTTATTGGTGTACCTTGCTAAACCTTCCACACTGCCACAAATGGATTCACAATTGTGTAATGAAAATTCCGATTCCGAAACAAATCATTAAAGATCCACCATCACCAAAAGTCTGTATCCACCCAAGGGTCAAGATAGAGTCTACGTGTACGCAGATTTTCCAGCCACACCAACAAATTAAATGGAACTTTGTACATCATCATAATCACCAATTATTTTTTGACACGTTCCTTTCCATTCAGTCAAAGAATGTTTAGATGTAAACTTTTTGCTAAAAGCTTTTGTCCAACAATTATACTTCTTGATGCAAGGATAATTCCAAGAGATCAAGGCTTTGTTACTCACTGCCACAGTATCATTAACAACAGAGGCGCTCACTTTTCAGCCACTTCTAGAAAAGCCTATTTTCTAAGACCAAGAAAACCTCTGCAGAATAGTTTATGCGCCAAGCCTGGTTATTCAGCTTACCTTCTCGCTGGATTATCTCAAAGATACTCTTCTGAAGCACAGCCGGAAGAACATCGCCACGCTCAAATACAGCAGCGCACCGAAGTCGAGGTGCAACACCAGCACGAAGAAACGATTCATTCTCAGTTTGAATTATTCGATAAAGAAAAGGAGTTTGCGTTAATTGTAAAAGAAAAAAAATTTGAGGAGGCCAGTGAATTTTTGAAACAGGAGGATTGCTATACTAACGTCGAGGATGCAATTAAATTCAAAAGAAATTTACACTTGGAAGGCGAAGATTTCGAGGTGGCAGATCAAATGATAAGGGAGCATATAATTCAATCTCTGGAATCGAGAAGCGCGAGCCCAAATCAAATCCTCAATGCCATCTCATCTTACAATCAAGAATCCTTCCATTATTACCTGGAAACCTCCAACACACCAAGTATCCTAAAAATTTATGAAGATGGCTCCACTATATCACCCCTAAACGCATTATATGTTATGACAGCATACGTCATAAAAGGTGAACTTGAAACTTCAAAGGAGGTAATGAATCGCTTCGATGCTGAGGGTGTTCCGTTTGAGGAATTTCTTAATAGCGTGAGAACCTACTTATCTCCGACCGAGGAGAATCGATTAAGACAGGTCATGAAGCACCGAAGATCGTACGTGGAGTCTTTATTCAAGAGCAATAGGTTCGACGATGCACAGAGACTGTACGATGAGATCATTGCGGGAGAAGTAAAACCTGACGAGTTCATCCATTACACCTTCCTATCCAAATTCCTTTATAATAACTGTTACCAAAATGCAACGCAGGTTTGGAGAGGCATGGATGAAAGTGGATTCAAGCCAACGCTAGAATTCTACAATCGATTGATTCACGGATTTGGAAAGAAAAGTAAGCACTACGACGCGGAGGTCATATGGAATAAAATGTTAAAGAGTGATATCAAGCCTGACGTGAAGACCTACGGCACGATGATTGATATATACTTTCGATCGAATGAAAGTCGAAAGGCGATTAAATTATTTCAACAGATGACAAACGAAAAAATTTCTCCTAATATTGAAATATTCAACACCATGATCAATGGATTTTTAATGCGTAGTAAAACGGACGAGGCGATGAAGATGTACAGGATGATGCCAGAAAAGGGTATCAAACCTGATATAGTGACATATAACGCGCTCATTCAAAGACTGATGAGATCACATGAATCCTTGGCTTTCGAGATTTTACAAGAAATGAATAGATCCAACGTGAAACCTGATGTTCGCACTCTCTCAATACTTTTGGAGAAATTTTTCGAGATGAGAGACATCGAAAGCGTCCAAAAAACTCTAAATAGTTTTCGCAATGATGGGATTGAGCCCAATCTAACAACGTATGGTGTAATAATCGACGGTTTAATAAAGATGGGTAATTTCGCCAAGGCCCTGGAGACTTACAAAATGATATCGAAAGGAAGGCCATCCGTAATTCAGATTGAAAGCAGCATGCTGAAACTTTATTTCAAACAGAAAAACTTTGACGCGGCCATGCAGGCTCATAAAAATATCATATCTTTCCGTCGTAGACCCACCGAAGGTTACTTTAACATTTTAATAGGCGGCTTCATAAAAGCTGGATATCATGAGATAGCAAAAGAATTCTATGATCAAATGTCAACCTTGGGAGTCTATCCCAATTCTAATACTTACAAGACCCTGATTTATGGCTATATGAATATGAATATGAAAGATTCATCCGGTGTGTCTGAGGTAATCAATGATATAAAGGATAAAAATTTCCTAGTTTTAGATCCAGAGCTGAAAGAATTGATCGAAATGGCGGAAAAGTCCTTGAGGAAAAAAAAATTATCAACTATTATTAGATAGAAAGGTGAGACATGGCGAGCAGTAGTATTTACAGTATACATGAATATTGGCCTGTACTTAAGATAAGGATTTTTGGTGACAAGAATTATTCAATACATGTATAAAGATTCTAATTTATATAACCTGCTAATCCCGCTTAAATAATTCCAAAATAAAATACGCATACACTTCTACATAAGTGGTTGAATATCGTGAAAACCAAAGAACTTATTTATGGTAAGGCTTTCTATGCTGCGTGCTTCACCTAATTGAATAACGAGATCTCATCGCCTGCATAAAAACAATACAATACCTAGCTGTTAAACGAATCAGTGTTATACGCAATAAGATTATACAACTCCTCACCAGGAAACTTATCCGAAAAAATCACATTGTACTGGTTATTGATAGATTAGTTCCAGTGCAATAATATTAATGCGTGCAACCCAGGGGTAGAAATTTCTATAATACATTGGTAACATGAAATAATACGGTTGCTGTGATTTTCATAAACAATGTTTGTAACCGTTGAAATAATAAAGAGATTTATGCATCTAATTTCTGACGGTTCATATACAATACAGCCGAAACGTTATATTAAGGATGTGTGTGTTCCTTGATTCCCATTAAGAAAAATTGCATTTGAAAACCATGAACAAAGTGTCAAGAAAGGAACGCCCAGTAACTCGATCATATGCCAGAAAAAATCGAATATTGATTGCCCCCCTACCACCGGCTGACACCAATCCTGAACCACGTCGTCGTAATCGAAAAGTTACCGGCAAAAACAGTCAGCAAGGGATAAAGAAGAAAGAATCATTTAAAGCGCAAAAACTTTGTGAAATCAATCAAGAATCTAGCCGTAATGCCGGCATAAACAATTTTCAGCAATCTTCTCAGTCAACCTCTAATATCATGAGCATTCGAGCAAAATCTCAAGTAGATTCTGCTCGAACCGTGAACATCAGCATTATTACCCAACAATCTTCTCCCATAAATACTTGTAACATTATTCAACAATCACTCCCAGTAGTTTCTGCATCAAAATACCTTCAGGTGCCACCAAATACACGAGCAACGCGAGATTATCCCAGATTAACGAATATTAATATTGAATCGATGTTTTCCAACAATATGACGACGGCGTATCTAACAGATAGTCCGGTTAGGAAGAGTACATCGTTTGATGATTTTGGAGGATTTCGGTCGCAATCATCCATGACCGATGATGATACCGACTCTGAATAAAGTACCCGGACTCGCGTCTGCGAGATCAAAATTAACGAAAAATATAAATGAATTTATAAAACACCTGTATAAATTGTTATCTATGTATTAAAAAGCTGGAATTTCACGATACAAAATAAATAATATCTCATTCATGGTTTACCGCAAAAAAATGTAAGCAGAAAAGGTATTGCGTTGGTGTTTTAAAAATAATATACTTTGTGTGTCAATCAAGAAAAATTTATTTGAAAATACCATACAATTATACATATATTGCATACAATTTTTTTAGATCAAATTCATTGAATCGAATAATTAATCAGACATTGAATTTTTTCAAATATTTTAAAATAATAAAAAAACCAATCTTTTTTATATCTTTTATATAATAATTAACTTCTAATTCTAACATCAACTTACCTACGGATGGATCGTAACATATCAATAGTAAGTAATACTAGGCATTACTACGTATTATTACTATTTCCTACATGATCTTCAGAGAGAATCAAGGCTCCATCAAGCAATGCCTGGAAAAAGATCTCACGAGTGCCATTTTCATCTCAGTCCATTACAACTCCACAATTCTGGCAATTGTACATCTCAGACCCTTCAATACTCTTTATGTTACCACACCAGCTACATGTTTTTGATGTGTAAGTCTTATTTTGAATAATAATATGGACTCCTAATTCCTCAGCCTTGGAAATTAGATGTTGATGGAAATGGTAATGTGCCTAGTAAAATATTTTTTGTACAGTCTTTCATCTAATTTTTCTTGTTTTGTGATTTATCATATCAAATACTTCAAAAGGAAAAATGACAATAGCATCAAATTCATGAGTAAAAAAAGCAATAGACTTCTGATGAATTTTACTTTATAAGTATATAATTTTTCATCACATTTGTAAAACTGCATAATTAAGTCAGCAGATCTTGTGCTTCTTACACTTTGAAGTAGAGGTTGCCAGCTTATTTTTTTTTGAAATGAGATTATCTATATATTTACACAGACAAGAAATTCAGTCTACATCATATTCACCAATTTTATCCATACTTTTGAAGGGAAAATATCAAGTAAAAAGTGTTCGAATGTTAGGATCAATAGAGAATGTATGGATAAAGCCATCTGCTTGGGTTTCGCAAAACTCTTTTTGCTTCTTATAAACCCAAACAAATGTTTACTTATTGATTTTTCAAGAATAGGTAAGTTTTCCATCAGATATAATTTTATGTAGATAGGGTCATTTGTTGTTTTTGCATTTTTTTTCAAAATAAAGAGACCACAAAGCATTAGGTTTGTACTGATACATATATGCATATATTGATTAAGTATAAAGATAAGAAGTATAAAAGTGATTCCAAAAAATTTTTTTAAAATTCTAGACATGAATTGTAATAATATGACATAATACCCTACATGATTGAAAAGAAAGAGAATGTATTGAGGCATCTTCTTATTGCTATATATTTCATTTAACAATCAATGTTTGATCAATTGCTTTATCTGTAATATTGGTTAGAGCTAAATCAAAACAATTTTATAAGAGTATGCCAAGACAAACAACTGCTTTACAAAATTTTTGTTTACTCTAAATTGCAATTTTTTGAAGTTTTGCATCTTCCTCTTTATTTGTATTTTTGCCAATTCTCACATCTACATATAACTTGAATTTCTTTTCAATCAATTGAACTTTTAACCATATTTTTTAAGTTGGTCTAATATGATAATTCTTGATATAATATTAATAAAAATGACTCCAATAGACAATTGCATTATAGGCATATCTCACCAATTCTATTTATTGTTTAAGAATTTGTTTTTGAGAATGATTTGAATTTATTTTGATTAATAATGCCAGGTTGATGGTATTTTCCATCTTCTGATGTTTGTTGCAGACTACTATTATCTTTTTTTTTTGCATTTTTTGATTACTGTACTCTTTTCTATATTTAGCTGCTCACTGTCCTTGTATTCTACAATAAAAACTGTATTAATAGCAAGAATATTTTGGGAAAGTTTATGTTTGTCAGAGATCAATTTATTAAAGAAAACTACAAGTTTTGTAGCATAAAGTGAGAATATGTATTGAATAAGGTCAAAGACAAACCAATAGAATCAATCACAATAGATAATCACAACTTTTGATACTATTCTATGACTTGCTTATTCCAGTAAGGCCTTAAGTTCTGGTTATTTGAAGTTAATATCTAAGCTGATATCATTAAGAAGTTCGTAAGTTGGGAATCAAGAGAAAAAGATCTGATTTTATTATTCAAAATTATCTTTTTGCTTAAAACTGATAGTATCAGCAGTAGTGGCAATGGCGGTAGTGATGATGATGATAATGATTATAACATTTAATGTGTGGAGATATTATAATGTTAGGATTAATAAAGAAAAACTTTAT